GCCTTGTCACACACGTAATTTAAAGACGCACGAATAACCGATATTTATTCCCGGTCTAGAGTGATTCCATGGTTCTGTAATGGTCTCGAGTTTATCGCAACTCCGTGCGCATCTAAGGTTCATTGCAAATTCGCGCACGTCTAAGCTTTATCACAAGTTTGTGCGTGTCTAAAGTTCATTGCAGATTTGTGTTAACCGAAGTTCATCGTGACCCGTCTCCGGTACGAGTTTGTCGCAATCATGCGATGAATCATATATTCATTGCAGGCATCTAATGAATTATAAATTCATCGCAAACAATTGATGAATTATGAATTCATCTCAAACGTCCATGTGGTATCAATTTGGTATCATCTATACTTTGATGATTTGAGAGATCATTATATACCTAGGATGCCAAATAGACGCTTTAACGTTTCATGGAGCTACAACTCATTACTATCAATAGAAATATGAGGTTACAGTGAGAATAACATGATGTGACACTGGATAATAGATACTAACACTAAAAACGTTTATAGACCATTGATACAAAACAAAACAAAAAACACTATTACTGACCCAAAATTTAAAAAATTTGAGTATGGATGGCATAATTTCAGATTTTCAGCCTAGAAAATCGATGACCTCTGCCCGTTTAAGTTGTATTCACAGCACATCTGGACATTGGGAACATGGTAGATTTTTCCAATGCACATTCAGATGTGCATGTCAGTCGCTGATATGATCTCAAGTTATGGTTAGTCTTCGCTGAAGAGTTTCTTACGATGTGACGTGAGTATCCATCCGGACAGGCGGACGGAGCAATCAATGATATGTACGGAGAAATTTTCTAAAAGCCCGTATTTCCAAAAAAGAAAAAATCGACTGAAGCTTATTTGGGCGGATGAGACACGTTTAGCTAAACGCTGTAATTAATGATAATGTTCTACTTCAATTAGAAAGTATAAAATAAATGCCATCTAGGATTCACAAACAATAAACCCTTTTTACTAGCACGGCCAGTGCGATGCAGGGATGGGGCACCCCTCCATGTCCTCCTGTCCCCCATAAGAACACCCTACTCTATTCCTATATCCCTCTCTCCTATAACTTAACATACTCTATTCCATTTGCCAAGACACTAATTCATCATCAGAATGGAGAATTTCCAAATTTTTTTACTCTTAGGCAATTTGTTAAAAAAATTAATTTATTGGTATTTTATAAATAGGATTATGAGAATTTAGAGATATTTTAGAAATTAGGTTTGACAATTTGAAGGTATTTTATAAATAAAACTATAGGATCATAGGATTATAAGAATATGAGGAAAACTTAAAGATACTTTGAAAAACAATATTAAATCTATGGATGTTTACTAAGTTATCACCAGATTCAAGGGATTATATGTAAATTCCATCCCTAATTTGGAGCAAAAATATTTTCCTTGTCCCCACTCCGTCTTTGCCTCATTCTCATTTAATATTTGAAAAAACTTGTCCCATTTGGGGCGGGGCAGGGTAGGGCCCCAATTTTATAGGGAAAATTGCCATCCCTACAATTCTAATAATTTTTTTATAACTAATTAACTACCAATAAATTACAATATTTTATGATAATTTCTAAAAAAAATGTTGAAATTGCTATTGATTAGTAAGTAATGTATAGTAAATTAATTATTTACAATAATCATAAATTAATGTAAATTATTTACTTTTTAAGCCTAAATTATTTAGTATTAATCAAAGTAAATGTAATTATAATAAATTAATATAATTATGGTAAATTACATTATTTTTAATTAAAAGTAAACCATTTGTTGTTAATTAATGTAAAACCAATTATAATTGAAGTCAACCAAGTGGTCTAGATCGGTGTGGATAGATTTTTCCTTAATTATTTATTGAACTAATATTAATGGATTGCTATTTAAATAATTATGAAACAATTTCTGATAGATTAATTTCCTAAAATTTATAATAATTATGGTTTTTTAATAGATTAATTTCTTAATTTTTTAATTACTTATTTAAAAAATAATTATGGATTATTGGTTAAAGAGTTTCCCTAAATTATTTGTTAACTATAATTATTGATTTTATAGAAATTAGTAAATTTTGGTAATTCGTAATATCTTTTATCAATAAATTATTATTGTAAAGATTTATTAAATTACAATGATTATTGTAAGTTACACTAAATGTTGAAATTTTGAACATTTATTAACAACCAAAAGTTATTAAATAATGGATTGCTTATTAATGTTTGGTAGATTATTAAATTATTTAATATTTGTTAAATAATGGTTTATTTCCGAAATATTATTTCATAATTTTTGGTAGAATATTTTCTAGGAATTTTTAATAATTTTCATAAGGTAATGGATTATTTAACAATAGATTATTATTTTAAGAATAGGTTATTTGACAATAATGGAAGATGCCATGCATGAGTATATATAGGAAACATCGAATTCCCCCTATTCCATCTCTTTGCTTGAAATTGTTTGACTTGAAAAATCAAATCTTAATAAATTATGATCATATTTTTATGGGAAAATGGAGAAAATAGAGGAGAATACCATTTAAATCTTAGCAGGCTGTGGAATCAATGATAAGAAGGTTCAATGCTAATATTAAATACATGGGATTGGCATCTTTTACAGTTGTGCTTATGAATTTAGTACTGGTGTGGAAGTGGAACCTCATCGTTGGTTTTACACCCCTTTGAAAAACTAAAGCGTTAAGCTAATTGAATTCGACGAAGTAAAGGAGAGAATAAAAGAAAGTAAGAGAGGTGAAATATAGGGAAGAGAATAAATCCAATGAAAAGAGAGAGAAATAAAGGAGTTGATGAAAAGGACGAGAAAAAGAGAGAGTCAGAGAGAATTGAAAATTGGGGTAATTAAAGACGGAGAAACAAGGTAAGTCATTATCATGAACAGGCAAAACGTTCAACTAATCCCGATTCTCTCTGCGTGGTTTCTTGAAAACACACAGTGAAAAGCAACTGAAATCAAACACCCAGCCGTCTGCCTTCCCAATTCCCAAGCGGGCCCAAGTTAGTAAAATTGAGCGGTGAATGAATCTCTAATACGAACAAGTGAGAGAGATAATCTGATAATGCGACAACATTCATTCACCCTGGGTCTGGGCTGCCATACTGTTTTCTCTGTGAGTGAGTCAAGACCGAGACTGAACTCTGTTTAATGTCCAATCTATTGCGGAATTAAATATTTTTTGACGGACAGAGAGTTGAGACAGAGGCAATTGTGAAGGAGCAGCTGCCAAGGCTTCCCTAAAACCAAACAATTCTTTACTACTCCCATATATATATATATGTTCAGGCAAAATTTTATTTTTTTGGTAAAATGTTCAGACAATAGCACTGATATCTCAATAGACGGGATTAGAAATTCCAATCGAACACTTTTAGAGCAAGGAGGATGATGGAGGCTGTGCTCCCGAGGACACGACATCACAACCCAGTCTATTCTATCTACCGTACCGATATGCCTGGAGGACGACGGAGAAATGAATTCTACTTTTGACGCCACTACTGGTGGTTCATGGGGAACCGGATCTAATTCTGTCCATTCTTACCCACAATATACTATCTCCCGTGAATTGAGAATATCTTTCTCTATTTGTACTATTGCAGATGATGAGATGTTGCCATGTATGACTGGGATAAACGCTAGTGGGCAGGAGATCCGGACTCCTGGTGCAGTGGTGCTGCCAACTGCCAAGAAAAGTCAGAGTTTCCCAATTTCAATTTTTTTTGTGGTTAATAAATATTGAATTCACGGGCGCCGGCTCAGCTGCGTCGGCTTGTGGAGTGTTGGAGCGGGCGAGGGGCCCACTCCAAAGATGCAAGTGCCTTATGCATATATAATTACAAAAATGACCTTTAACTAGAAGAAGTTCCAAGTTCTCTGGCTGATGATGAGTTGACTCTCGTGCCCCTTTTAATTATTTTTACAATTAAATTAATGGTATAGGCATGCAATGGATTGGCGTTGGCCCGGGCTCTGCTGCTGCTGTTGGCTTTAATGTGGATCCTCATCCTAACCATCTCACTGATCCAACGGTCTAAATCATTCACGCCAACCAGATTTTTGGAAAGTTATTAATATTTTCTTTCTTTATTGCTGCGCTCACGGTCGTTATCATCAGACATAGGCCCTGCTTTTATTTTTAAAGAAAATTATCTAAAATTCACCGTGAATTTTCAGTATTTCTCTTAAATTCGTGACAATTTTTTAAAATGTCTAAAATTCATCATGTTATTAATTTAATGTTAAAGTATAAAATATTACCATTTTACCTTTCATAGAAAAATATAAACTAAATTAATGAGTATTGATATATTATCATTTTAATATTTAGACTTAAAAAAGAAAAAATTCAAAAAAATATTTTTAAATATGAAATACATAAAAACATAGAAATTATAAAAAATATAAAAAAATTGCAAACAAACTAAAAAATTATTTTCAAATTATAGAAACTATAGAAATTGAAAAACACAATCAGAAAATAAAAATTGTAGAAAACACACAAAAAGTTATAGAAAAACACAGAAATTGTAAATAAATAACAAAAATACAGGAAAATTTATAGATTGTAAGAAATAGAAAAATGTAAAAAAACAGAAATTATAAAAAACATTGGAAATTATAACAAAAACACTAAAAATATAAAAAATAAGAAAATTAAAAACTAAAAAAACCATTTTTTCCTTTCACTCATTATTCAAGGATAATTTGGTCTATTTGTGCTGACATAGACACTTCTATTAAGAAACATTAACCATAAAAGTTGAATTTTGGAAAATAAAAACTTAGCCATGTATTGAAAAGTTGTGATGAATTTAAGAAAAATCTTGAAAATAATGGTGAGTTTTACACAATTTCCCTATTTTTAATAATCACATCGGGTAGAGCCACGAAATTTCCTAAATGCATACTTTAATTATTAACAATCATAATTATTTAATTATGCTGAATCAATGGTTCCATTTTTAGGTTGTGGTTTGTGGAGAAACGGGAAAAACCCAGAGACAGCGAGAGAGGTTTTCTCACTTTAGTCAGTCCATCCTTCGTGAAGAGAGGAAGAGAAAGAGAAGAAGTTGCATAGCGTATTCCAAGTTCTAATTTTTCTGCTAACATAAATCCTACAATTGTTTCAGTTGCGCTACAAATCTTTAGTTCTTTCTGTATTTCATTTGTCATTTTCGTGGATTGGAAGTTGGGATTTCTTCATGAATCACACCCCTGGTTCTTTGATGTGATTCTTAATTAGGGTTTCATGCTTTTGTTTCTGGGTCGGCAGATTATGAGATTTCTGCGTTGATTAATCCATCGGTTTCCGGTCAATTTACTGCGGAAGTCTGCCCTTTTTCGCTGTTAACATTTTCTCTGACTCTTCTATTGTCGATCCCTACTCTTATCGAGTGCTATTTTATCAAATCTCGATGGGGAAAGGAGGACAAGATCATAGAAATCAGAATAGTAGTGGATCCATATCCTCCGACATCCCGGCGTGGGCGAAAGACGTCCAAGAGTGTTTGAAGGTGTACAACGTCGACAAAGACCGGGGGTTGACAACTGAGGAAGTCGAGGAGCGGCGTCGGATCTACGGTTGGAACGAGTTGGAGAAGCATGAGGGCCCGTCAATCTGGAGTCTGATTATCGAACAGTTCAACGACACCCTGGTGCGCATTCTACTCGTCGCCGCAGTGGTGTCGTTTGTCCTCGCTTGGTATGACGGCGATGAGGGGGGCGAGATGGGAATTACAGCATTCGTGGAGCCTCTCGTGATCTTTTTGATATTGATCGTAAATGCCATTGTTGGAGTATGGCAAGAGAACAACGCCGAGAAAGCCCTAGAAGCTCTCAAGGACATTCAATCCGCGCACGCCAGCGTGATACGTGAAGGGAAAAAGATATCCGGTCTGCCAGCCAGGGAACTCGTTCCGGGTGATATCGTTGAACTCAGGGTAGGCGACAAGGTTCCAGCTGATATGCGGGTTTTGCATCTGATAAGCTCCACTGCGAGGGTCGAGCAGGGTTCACTGACGGGGGAAAGCGAAGCGGTTAATAAGAGCAATAAGGTTGTTCCTCAGGACAGTGACATTCAAGGAAAGAATTGTATGGTTTTTGCCGGGACCACGGTTGTGAATGGAAATATCATCTGCTTGGTTACCCAGACGGGTATGAACACGGAAATCGGGAAGGTGCATTCTCAGATTCATGCGGCCGCGCAAATGGATGAAGACACCCCATTGAAAAAGAAGCTTAACGAATTCGGAGAGACCCTCACTGCCATAATCGGAGTGATCTGTGCGCTGGTCTGGCTCATCAACGTGAAGTACTTCTTTACCTGGGATTATGTGAACGGGTGGCCATCAAATTTTAAGTTTTCTTTCGAGAAGTGCACTTACTACTTCGAGATTGCAGTGGCATTGGCAGTGGCGGCCATTCCAGAAGGTTTACCGGCAGTTATTACAACTTGCTTGGCACTTGGTACACGAAAGATGGCTCAGAAGAATGCGCTTGTACGGAAGTTGCCTAGCGTGGAAACTCTGGGTTGTACAACAGTCATTTGTTCTGATAAGACAGGTACCTTGACTACCAATCAAATGGCAGTGGCAAAGCTTGTGGCTATGGGTCCTCGTGCAGATTCCGTTAGAACTTTCAAAGTCGATGGAACCACCTACAGTCCTTTTGATGGCAAGATACATGAATGGCCAACTGGTTGCATGGATGCAAACCTTTCTATGATTGCAAAGATTGCTGCTGTTTGCAATGATTCAGGTGTTGCACAAGCTGGGAATCACTATGTCGCTAATGGAATGCCAACCGAGGCAGCATTGAAAGTAAGATCTCTACATTTGAGATTCTTCCTGTTCATTCTTAATTTCTATGGTCACCAATTATATCCTTTCATTCCAGAAATCTAATCTTTCAATGAACTCTTAAGCTGAGGCACAAATTCCCAAACCATAGAATTTTGTCTACAAGTCCTTCCCGTTCTATAAAAGAAAAGAATTGTCTATGAAAACATTATTAAAAACATTATTGATAATTGAATTCTATCTCTAGTAGAAAGATTGCTTAGCCAGTGTTAGCTATGATCATCTTTGAACAATCTCTGGCAATCCATCTTGGGCCTGCTTGTCTTTTGGTGGTGGGATGTTTCTCACTTGACTGTGCAAATATACAAACAATATCATTTAGATTAGGTTTTTTCCTTGTTCAGAAAGGGGTTTATACTTTATACATACATTTCCAGTGGAGAATGATCTTAGCTGGTGATAGCCTATAACTATGATGACTTTGAAGTTTGAATAAGCTTTGTCAATTTGGTGAGAGTTTCTCACTTCACAATGTATATAAACTGATAACATCATTGAGATTAGGTCTTCTCTTTGACTGGGGAAAGAGTTTACAGAACATTCTTCCATGACGAAACATAAAAGGGGTTGGACTGCTCTTCCAGCATATCATGATTCTGAGTCACTGCATGCTAGACATTTGGCATTTTATCTTTATTGAAGCATGTGCAAGTAGGGTTTCTGTGTTGCTTTGTCAATTCAAGTCCTTAAGATTGTTTAAGCAAGTTAATGTGGTTGAAATTCTTCTATGAAGTCTGAACGATTTCTTTTTCTTCTTTCAGGTCCTAGTTGAGAAAATGGGTCCTCCTCAAGGGTTTGATACCTCATCTTCAGGCACCGCAGATGTGCTACGTATGTTGACACTTATTGTTACAGTATCTGTATTTTATTTTGATATATTAACATACTTGATCACATTTTTTCCTTCTGTTTTATAAAAAAGGTTGTTGCCAGCGATGGAGTGAAATCGGACGTCGTATTGCAACTCTTGAGTTTGACCGTGATCGGAAGTCAATGGGAGTTATTGTGAGGTCGGAATCAGGAAGAAATTCATTATTAGTGAAGGTATGCTCTCTGGTTGTGGCTAGAAGGCTGGAGTTTCCATTTATTCTTAGTGCTTGCTAATCTAAGTAGTACCAATTACCTAGTTTCACTTTGTGACATGATAAGTTTCACGTTAGGACACAGGAAGATGAAGAACTAAGGTATTTTGTCCTATAAGAGGCAAAATACAAATCAATTTAATTTCTGGTTTATTGCTCTTCATGGTCCATCCCCCTAGTGAACTAGAATATAGGTATGATTAACATCCCTATGGTTCCCTGTGCAATGACTATACTGTTTCAACTTGTTTTGGTTTTTCCACACCAATTCAAATATCTATATGCTTTCTATTCTTTGAAGGTTCTATTTCAATAATTAAATTTGGATCATATTTGTTTTTTCATCTGTTTTACTCATTTTTGCTACCAATAAGATTGTTTTTCAGTTTATTTACTATTTTTTACTGCTTGTAATTTGGGAAAGAAGCATTCCTAATAGACCTGTTACATTATGGCAGGGAGCAGTAGAGAATGTATTGGATAGAAGCTCCCATGTTCAACTGCTTGATGGTTCTGTTGTGACATTGGATCATAGTTCAAGAGATCTTATTTTACGATCCCTTCATGAGATGTCAACCACTGCACTTCGCTGCCTGGGTTTTGCATACAAGGATGAACTTGCTGAATTTGTGACTTATGATGATGGTGATGAAAATCATCCAGCTCATGATCTCTTACTTAAACCATCTAATTATTCAGCTATTGAGAGTGACCTTATCTTTGTCGGGCTGGTTGGGCTAAGGGTGAGTAGACATGTGCTATTTATTCTCATTGTTTGGTTATGTTGATGTTCTGATCTGTTGGTGGATTCTCTTGGACTTACGATTTATTCTTTAACATTATAGGATCCTCCTCGAGAAGAGGTTCACAAAGCAATTGAGGACTGCAGAGCAGCTGGTATCCGTGTTATGGTTATCACAGGAGATAACAAGGAGACAGCAGAAGCAATTTGTCATGAAATTGGTGTATTTGGTCCTAACGAGGATATTACTTCAAAAAGCTTAACAGGAAAAGAGTATATGGATCTTGCTAATAAAAGAGATCATTTAAGGCAAAGTGGTGGGCTTCTATTCTCTAGAGCTGAACCAAGGCATAAACAAGAGATAGTGAAGTTGCTGAAAGAAGATGGAGAAGTGGTTGCAATGACTGGTGATGGGGTCAATGATGCTCCTGCTTTGAAATTGGCTGACATTGGAGTTGCAATGGGCATCACTGGAACTGAGGTATTCTTTTTCATTAATTCTCATGTCTGTAAATATCTTATGGATTTCTCACCTTTTTACTGTTGAAAGGTGATTTTCCCTGGTCATGTTTGGTTGTGTGGGGTACATGTGTTGGGCTCCATTGATATTTTATGGCTTTTTTGGGCCTCTATTGACATTTCCTTCTCTTCAGATTAGCTTCCAAATGTGATAGTATGATAACATCAGTTGCTAGAAAATTAGCTAACCTGCTTTCCAGTATGAGTGTATGAGACTATGAGCTTCATGGACAAATAAAATGCAATTTATTCTGTATAGAAACATCTATATAATTTTTGAAGATATTCTAGTTTGCAAGCGCTCATGCAATATTCCTGGGTTTATGAGAAGATTTGTACAAGTGTTGCATTGCGTTCAAAGTGCACCTTTTATTTTTCTCTTGAGCCAGTGCATGTGTGTGTTTATGCTTTTGGTATACTGGGGGATTTACCAGGCTATCGATGAATCTTTTAAGCAATATAATCATCTGAATCACTAAACTTGTTGAGCTTTTTGTTGTCTGATTAGTATTTTTCATGGATGTGCTTTCTTACCAAATAATGTGTTGCTATGTCAATTTTCACCTCTCCCCAATTTTCTATTACCTGTGTGTCATTTATAAATCCTTTATTATTTCTTGAATGCCATCCTAATGCATGTTTTTTTTTTTTTTCTTTCTTTTCCTTCTTTTTTCTTTTTTGCAGGTTGCAAAGGAAGCTTCTGACATGGTGTTAGCAGATGATAATTTCAGTACAATAGTTGCTGCTGTGGGTGAAGGTAGATCTATCTATGACAATATGAAGGCTTTTATCAGGTTTATTTCTCTTTCTCTATTCCCTCTTATCTTTTTCAGTTCAAAATTGGTTTGATAATTCACTTGTTTTCCAAGGGTCACAAACTGTGCAGATACTTAAAAGAAGTTTCCACAGGGACTAGAACTAGAACATAATTTATAATTGGAGAATTTCTAGATATACATTTTTAAATTCATCATACTTTGATGTTCTGAAATTTTCTTTTTTCAATTCTGAGATTGAAAGAATGGGTAGAAGTGGATTGAGAAACATACATATGGAAAGAACCCTCAATCAGTCATCCCAAAAGAGGTTCTCTTTCTATCCCGTCTGCCAGCCCATTTGCAGATCTGTACACCCACTGAACTGCAACTATTGTTCCTTTTTAGCTCATTGATCTCTTAGGGTAAGGCACTTTCCTTCATTTTTAATCCACCCTACAATCACTTTTGACTCCTCTTCAACAATGACATTTGTGTAATTATTTCTCTTTGCCAACTTTAACCCCTGTAGAACTGCTAGGATTTCTGCTCTTATCACATTGCTATCACATGGCCTGCAGGTCCTGAGTAAGAGAAAGTATACTTCCATGCTCATTTCTGGTTTATAAAGACTGCCCTAATTCCAGAGGAGCCTGGGTTGCCTCCCATCAAAGTTAAAGCTTGATTGACTTGTCTGGTGGTGGTTCCCATATATAGGTTACACAGTCACCCTAATGGCCCCAGTTTCTAGTATCATTGGTAGTGAAGGAACTGAACAAATCCTAACCCAATCCGCTCTCACTGTTATGAGGTCAATGAGAACTCTTCTATCTTGGGACTTTTCCTTGAATAATCTTCCATTTCTTTCCTCCCAAACAGCCTATAAAATTGCAGCTCTGGAGCATCTCCATAGAATATTTCCTCTTCTTGTGGGTTGGTTAATGAAAGTGCTGCTGAAAATGAATTGCAAATCTGAAGGAGTCGTCCCCCTGCACGTAAAGAGAAAAAAAAACCACTCCCAAATACCATAGACAAATTAACAGGAGATTAGTAGATAGTAGAAAATTTCCCCGCTCACATTGCAGAGAAGGCAGACATGAGGACATAAACACCAATGTGGGCAGAACTAATTTATAAGATTAAACTTGTTTTCCATTTTGCTTCTTTTAACCTTGGGCCAGGCCTTTTCAAAGTTTAATAAAAGCTCTAGCTGAGCCTGCCCAAGTTGCAACCCTGTTGAATTTTTGTCATAGTGGTCCCAGTTGTCACATTAAGAAATATGTTTATATAATTATGAAATTATTGCAGGTACATGATCTCCTCGAATATTGGTGAGGTTGCTTCTATATTTTTCACAGCAGCTTTAGGTATTCCAGAAGGGTTGATCCCTGTCCAACTTCTGTGGGTCAACCTTGTCACTGATGGACCCCCTGCAACAGCCTTGGGATTCAATCCACCGGACAAGGATATAATGAAGAAACCCCCTCGAAGAAGCGACGACTCATTGATTACTGCTTGGATTTTATTTCGCTACCTGGTATGCCAGTTATCTTTTTTTTTTCACTTTTTTTTTTCTCTCAAAGCCAAGAATATCTCATGCCAACTTTTGGATTCTGACCTCTTCCCAAGTGCCCTTTGAAATTTAGATTTCATTCTTAAACTTTTGCAGGTTATTGGGTTCTATGTTGGGATAGCAACCGTTGGAGTTTTCATTATATGGTATACACATGGCTCCTTCTTTGGTATTGACCTGAGCCAGGATGGCCACACTCTTGTCACATATTCGCAACTATCCAACTGGGAGAAGTGTCCTTCTTGGGAAGGATTCACAGTTTCTCCTTTCACAGCAGGGGCACAGGTGTTCTCCTTTGATGCCAAACCCTGTGACTATTTCCAGGCTGGCAAAGTGAAAGCTATGACTCTCTCCCTCTCCGTCCTGGTTGCCATTGAAATGTTCAACTCCCTTAATGCATTGTCTGAAGATGGGAGTCTCTTGACAATGCCCCCATGGGTTAACCCGTGGCTCCTTCTGGCCATGTCAGTATCTTTCGGTCTACATTTCTTGATCCTTTATATCCCATTCCTTGCCCAAGTGTTCGGCATTGTACCCCTCAGCCTAAATGAGTGGCTCTTGGTGTTGGCGGTGGCATTCCCAGTGGTCCTGATTGATGAGATTCTCAAGTTTATTGGGAGGTGTACAAGTGGGTTGCGCACATCTTGCAGAAGGAAATCAGTCAAGACCAAGGCAGAGTGAGAAGCGAATGAGTTAAACTTCTCGAATAGAATCATTAGTCTTGGTCCACCTTGAATCTGCCTTTGTTCTAAATTGAGGCTTGGCTTGGACCCTGAAGATCTAAGTAGATTGTGAACAAGGGTTTGGGACTTCCTAGTGCATTTGGAGGGGAGATTCACTTAAATCACTGTTTATTTTGCTCTAGTTTATCTTTTCTAATTATTCCTGAACTAATTTTTGATGTCAAAAGGTGCAAAAAACGGAATTACTTGTTACACTTCTAACCTTAGATGTTCACACTTCACACTTCACAACCTCAGGGCTTGTACCAATTTTTTTGCGGGAGAAGCTACTTTCATTTTCCCTGTGGATGCGAATGATGCGCAAATTGAGGAACTAAAATGTAGACCATTACAGTGGTTAAAGATATCTTGTTTTCCTTAACACGTTCACCTGTTCATGTACTTATGAGTTGGGCCAAGATGCAAAGTACTTATGAGTTGGGCCAACATCAGCCTTTTTTTATGCTTCAAAGGTGATGTGATAAGATATTAAGATCTCTGCTAGAAGATGACACCAAAAAGATAGAAAAAACTCGAAAAAGAGTTCTCAATCATTAACCAACGGTGGCTCGGCTTGTAAGTTTTCTCGCGGGTTGTAGCGGAGACTTGCGATCAAATTGTAGCCCCCCGGTTGTGTATGGACTCTTTGACTGTCCAGTACGAGTGAATGATTCGTTGCAATTAAAAAAAAAAAAGTTAAAATAGAAAGGCCACAACCGTTGTCTGGGTTGAATGAGTTGATGGTTCGACCACCCAGGTTAGTGGATTGTTAATTAAATCAATGGTTTTTGGCAAGCTTCTGATTCAGGGGTGAAACGAAACTGGTTGACTGGACAGCTTTTTGGCTAAACGGTCTACTGTCTAGGTCAATAATGATTTAAAAACCATGCCAAAAAATGTTTATTTTGTTATTCTTAAAGCCATTAAAAATCATAGAAATTTTATAAACTTGAAACCAAAACAGGATTACCAACTAATAGATGCCTATATGAACAAAATGTTGTCAATATCACCAGTCCACTTAAGATTCCAGTATTGGCATAGCGAAAGAGTTTCAATAAGCACTCTATATGATATCAGGATATGCTATGGGAACACTCGGAAGTGAAATAACAAGATATGCAAGAATATGATAGGAAACCCAAATCTCACAAATACATCAATAACATTAACTCCACTGCGCTCAATTTGCTGTAAATATTAGAAACATAGTTTCTGTGTAATTATAATTTACACTTGTATGCAAAACATACACGAGCTTGTAACATTATTAAATTTATGTAGCTTACTACTCAAGTTAATTGATATACAATTCCATATGATCTGCTATTACCAAGGTTTTAAAAGGCCAAAAGACATAATTGAAGCATAATGGCCCAAAAAAGGTGTGATGTAAGCCTCAAAGGCGTTGTGAGGCATAAGCCTCAAAGCTTAAGAAAAAAAAATGATAAAAGTAATAAATAATATACCGAGATAGAATCGTAGAAGATACAAATATCTATAAAACAAAAGTTTATAAACAATAGGTTTTAGCGTTTAATCATTAAATAAAATAAAAAAATCAACTAATAATTATAAACATTTTACATTTCATGTTTCAAAATGCAAAATTCTCGAATTATTCAAATGACCAATTTAGAAGAAAGGAAACATATGAAGAATCACCCATATAATTGATATTAGATTTATATGGTCATCCAATAGTTTAGAAGAAAGGAAATAACTTAATTAATTTGATTTACGCACCAAAATCAATAAAAAGAAAATGAATCCATTAACAAAGGAAATGATAAAAATAACAAATTTATGATGTTAGATTTAGAATAATAAGAAAAAATATCACTTGATTTATCCAAGATAAACTAAGAATTTGATGGCCCTTTTTGCAACAAACTCTCCTAAAACACTAAGAGAAACTAATAAATATGTATTTGGTTCTGAGGGCATTTATTGAAAAAACGCTGCCACATCAGTGCCACATAGGCGTTGGCATTTATTGCATATTAAGCAAAATGAAACAATTGTTTGGTTTCACCATTTATCAAATAAACGGTAAAAAACTGAAATGCTTTGATTTTTGTGCATGGGGCATTTGGGGAAATGCCAAATTCTTGTTTTTCCCAACGCCCCAGTGTTTCTTGAAACCAAATGCTGATGTGTCACACTGTAATGGGTATTAATCTGAGGTGGAGAATAAAAAACGTTTAAAGTAAAGCCCAACCAAACAACAAAAACAAGAAACGTTTAAAATGAAAAAGTATAAATAAACATTTAAAATGAAAAAGCACAAATAAATGACACCCATAAACGTAAATGGAACCAAACACCCTCTCTAAAACATGATTTGCCCTATTTGTTTTTCATTTTTACTCCTTTTTTATCTGGCTTATAATTATTGAAACACTTCTACATCTCATTCCGACAAAGACTTAAGCTTTGAGACAAAATTTGTGCATTTTGAATCAAGGTGTACACCTTATGCCTCAAGGCTTGCGTTTTTTAAAACAATGACTACTGCAAATTAATAATTTAATATGAATTATGCATCTAAAACTAAATAATATATCAGATACACAAATGTATGACCTGTTGTAGTTTAGTAATATAAATGGTTGGACTATGATACCAGAAAGATCAACCGGTATCTTGGTATTCATCAAAATTTAAGAGGTGCTTTGATTGGTAAAAGTTCTTCTGGTATCATGTATACTAAATAATTATTATAAATTTAGTTTTTACACTGGATCCAGAAACCCACTAATCAGTGGCATGCACCTCAGCCCCAAAATGGATGAATATAAAATCGATATGAATCAAAACGTAAGAACCTTCAGCCTACCATGCTTAATTATTATTTTTAATTTTCATTTTGGCTGCATTTGGTTAGAGTGCAAATGCAAAACCGAAACAAGTTTGCACATAGATTCAGTTTGAAGCCATTTGGCAAGAATACATTTTTGTGTTAAAAAATGAAAGTAATATTTTTTCAACTGCTTTTACACTTAAAGTTGGTCAATGTAAAAGATAATTTGATTCTAGCCTTTAAATTTGTATTTGGACCTATCACAACTAAACAACAAGAGCCTAAATTTATGAGTGCAAAGCTATACTGGGTTTGCATCCTTTCTATTTGAACAAATTTGCATTCATATCAGTGCATTCACTTTTGACTCTTAAGTCTCAAGTCCTACCCAATGCAGCCTTTGGAATTTTGGGGAAAGAGGGAGTGAGGGGTGATTGACGTATGGATCCTGAGTTCCAATTTGCATGTGATTATATGAATCTAACTGATACATATTACGACATGAAATAACTGGAGAATATCTGTATCCATCACCCAATCGATCTCCTAATCACGCTCTATCTGTATGGTCACATGGCTGATATTATATTCCCTCCTTATATAGTCTATCACTTTATCCAGCACCATATCTGCATCTGCCTCTTTCTTGATCTTGACATGGCAAGCCAACAGGACTTTCCCTACAGTGATGGCCCATATGTGCAGCTCATGAATTGCCACCACCTCCTCCATCTCACAGAGACCCTTTTCAAGCATCGTTGCGTCAATCTCTCTTGGCGTGCTCTCCATCAAAACCTCCAGAACATTACGCAGCATCTTGATTGTTGTACCGAGCACAATTACTGAGAACAGGAGGGTGCATATTAAATCAATGATCTTCCACTGAGGTTTGTACCAGATGATTTCTCCTCCTATCATCACCCCAATACTCTGGATGGAGTCCCCTAGTACGTGAAGATAAGCCCCCTGGACATTGATATTCTGCCGCTTCTGTTTCTGACCTGTGTTGGCTCTATGTACATCCACATTATAATTATCAACAATCAGAGGTTCAGAATCTACTTCATGAGGGTGGTTATGCTCACTTTGATGTATGTCTTGCCCCCCGTGTCGGCAATTTGCAATACTGCTTATCGCATGGCCATGACCATGACTATGAATATGTTCACCGTGGCCATGATCATCCATAGAATAATTATCAAGCAGAGGTTCAGAATCATCCACTTCATGAAAGTGACCATGCTCGCTTTGATGTATGCCTTGTCCCCCACGTTGGTGATTTGTATTAATGCTTACCGCATGGCCATGACCATGACCATGTTCACCATGGCCATGATCATGCCCTCCATGGCTATGATCATGATCATGACCCAACAAAATAGCCATGATAATGTTAACCAGCAAACCAAAAGCAGCAACAAAGAACATTAGGGAGCCCCGAACTTCACCAGTGTCGTGTATGATCCTAGCAATGGCTTCATAAACTAGTATCCCGGTAAGAAGCCATATCAACTGGATGGAAACTAAAGCACCAAGGATTTCAATCCTGAAGAAGCCATAAGATTGACGTGGATTTGCTTCCCAACCTGATGCCCACAATGAAAACAAAGATATGGCAAAAGCTGCAACATCCGAAAGCAGATGTGCTGCATCAGTTAAGATTGCAAGACTGTTAGCTTTAATACCACCAACTACTTCTGCACTCATAAAGATGACACAGAGTATAACTGCTATGAAAAGCTTTTTCATGGAAGCAGATCTCTCTCTGGCATCCTTGGAGCTGGTTCTAGCATCAGAGAATCCACATGCTGCTGCCCCACAATTCTTACTCCCTCCTAAGCTTGGCTCTCTAGCAGGCACGGCTCTACTAATATCAAGAATCTGGTTGTGTTGTGGATTTTTTACTTCCATCTGAAAATTTACACCATCAATGTAAAGTCAAAAACGTGAATATATATTGATGCTCTTATGCACGTGATAGAAAACATACGAGTCTATGCCAGGTTCTGCACGGTGATATCTCAGAACAAGTTTTCTATTTCATCATAGGTAAGACTGTCAATTGTGTTCTAACAATAGAATCAAACAACAACAATTGATCAATAATATACCAGTCAAGAAACTAAATAACAACATAACATATTAGGAACCACCAGTAGAGAAAAGGTAAAAGTTCAGAACGTGCAGACAATTATTATATTTAAAATGTTCAAAACCAACATATAGCAACCAATCTTGCATCAAAAACTTGGTCCCAAGTTATTTCTTTAATTGATTTTTTTCATTAGATACATTTATTTCTTCTAAAGCTCTTCAAACTTTAAACAAGAATTAGTAGGGCTGTAGTGGCATTTAGATAAAACTCTGCCGTTTTTGGTAAATAGTATGATTCTGTTTCTCAATGAAAGAATTGGAAGGATTGTACTCTCTTTTGTTCTCTTTAATATCTTCAATAAAACTACTTATTCATTCATCAAAAAAATAAAAAATAAATAAAGAATTGGAAGGATGAGGGAGCAAATATGATTCTTTTATAAAGCTAGACTCTTTTTGTCTCTGCAAAGTGCAAATCACCCAAGGATGAAGACCCCATCCCACACACACAAAAGAAGGGAGAAAGACAAGAAAAAGAAAAGAAAATGATTCCGCTGATTCTTCCATATTGTAACTTGATTCTCATTAGCAGAACCACGGGAACCAATCACTGGAATCATTCCATAGAAGTTGCAATGATGTGTCCTATTACAGAGATTAATTCAAATCTCTAAAGTTTGTTAAACTAAAAACTTGATTGCAGGAAGAAACTTATATTTCCTCAATTTTCTTGGAGGATTCATGCTAGTATGCCAAACATCTACATCTTAGCCATTAAATGTCTAGATTACAAACATACAAGTAATCCAAGAAAGAGAAGGGCTGAGAATTATCATCTGTAAAAGACAAACTGTAGCATGCTGACCAGGATCTGTTTCAATATGTACCTGGGAGATTCTAGAGAAATAGTGGATCTAAGCAAGCAAAGTGAGGAATAGGTACATACTTTGAAAAGAAACCACTATCTATACCTAGAGAAATCTTGGATCTTTCCATGCAAAACAAGTTTACTAGTTGAGTCATCTAAGAAAAAAGTCTACCATGTAGCAAAACTGTTGGGCCCCAAAACCCCACATGACCCCTTTTCTACCCTCTTCTCATGGGGCAAATTCCAGTCCAAGAGATTGATAAACCCAGTCCAGGAGCCCTTGACAATGTCTAAAATAAGCCCATTTTTTACAGGTATTTTGTAATTTAAATTAATAAATACCTAGTTACCTACAAAAAGGGCATTAAAGTACTCATCTGGTGGCACCCCTCTGTTGGCTAAATTAGAATTTTATGGAAACGTTATTAGTTACTAAACTTTGACCTATGTAGTCTGGGCAACAGAGGACCATCAGGAGTGTTAAGTGTTTAGAAATGAAACGGGAACACTTCTAAACATTTTCCCTGGACCATTGGGAGATGGGGACTAGATGAGCTGAGTTAGTAACCGTGCTACATGCCTTGAGGCAGGGAAAATCATTGAACTACAGGAATCTAGTGGTTGAAGGGGATTTTAAGGTGGTGGTTAGTTGGATGAAGCACAATAAACAAGGGGCAATTAGGGAACAACTCTTTTGGGATCAAATATAAGGGAAAGAAAATGGGAAAGTGGTAGGCAGCTAGCTGAAAGCCTAAGCTAAGGGTTGTATTGCTTTTCTGGAAAACAGTGTGCATACATATCATTCTTTTATATAATCAAGAAAACCTCTTTTTTTTTCTGTAAAACCCCATGTTACCAATCGAAAAAAAAAAAATCTAATTTCTTTAAGCATGTAAGATAATCTCCATAGACCTCTTCAAAAGACTTTGCCCCATCTGATTGTATTTGAAGATTTTCCTTCAATTGAACGGAATGAAGTTTTTTTGCAAGGTGGCACTATAACAATGGAAAGAATCTGCAATTCATACTCTAATCTTCACCCATACACTATAGTCAACCAAATGTATTGCTAAAAGTGCAGCCGTCATAATTGCAGATTCTTTTTCTTTTTGAGTAGTAAAAGGTAGAGAGAAATTTATTAGAAAAAAAGAAAAGGTAAATCATTACAGCAAAAAGAGGGTATTGAGATACTAAAGCAAAATTAGAAGTCTCAGCTACAGTGGGACTTCTACAAATGCACAAGACCGTAGACAGCTTATGCATAAGTTTCAATAATGTCCAAGGCATTCAACAAAACTGCTACCGAAAGATGATCTATCAACATCTTGAAAGTCTGATGATGTTGATATCCATTTTGGGATAAGAGGTCCAATATCTGCATATAATATAACATCCAAGAAGGCATCTCTTCCTATCAAAGATTTGTCTACTCCATTCCCTCCAAATCCCCAAGCAAACAGCAAAAAAGGATCACGCTGTAGAATATCTTTGTCCTAGGATCTCTTCAGAAGCCACCAACAGCTAATTTCATAAGGGAAAGAGGGGCTGAACATTTGTTGGTGAAGTAGAACAAAGAAATATGTTCAACAAAAACCACCATGCTACAGTGTAAGGACTAAGAAGAGGTGGGTAACTGACACCTTATTGAAATCACAAGTATGGGTTTGCTGCCAAGTGAGAAATTAAATTCTGGATGTGGGCAATGCAGCCAACTGATTTTTTTTTTTTTTTTGTAATGCCTTCATAAAATGTTTTACCATGAACCTCCCATTGGAACACATCTTCCACCAATAACATACAGATCTGAAAAGGTCAATTATAGTAGCTCCAAACTTAAGAGGGAACCATATTCCTCTATCTTAACTTCAAAACATCGTATTACCATAATGTCTTTGGAGTTGAGCCTGCATAATCATGGACACAGATCACATAGTTTATCCCCTCCCTCATCCACCATCCTCCCAAAATCAAACGTAAGATCCCTCCCCATCTATAAATTTTGTGAAACTAGTAAATTCTCAATGAAAATTCATTACTTCCTTCTGAAGACCCACCTTATAAAGTAGACAAGGATTTCACTCCCAATGGGGAAACCCACAGTCCAGAAAAATTTAGGGGCCGTTTGGCAAGTCTTTTTGGGAAGATCTTCTGGTAGCTCTGACGGTCAAAATACGCATTGAGCTTTTGCATGAAGATCTGAGCAGCCCAAAGCTAGTTTGGCTACCACGCATCTTTTCCCGAAATCAGCCCAAAATGGATATCTTGCGTCTTTTCGGCGCACCGACTTTTGGCAGCTAGATATGTTATGAACCAAACAGAAAAAAAGACCGCGGTGCGGTCTGCCAGGCTTTTAAACAGCCAAAATACCGTGTGGAAAGATATGCTAAACGGGGCCTCATAGTATGGTTGATGTATCAGTTTTCCAGGTATAGAAAACATGTAAATATGATGAAGTGTGGCAATCTAAAACATTGAAGTCTGTAAAGACAGTAAATAACAGAGATCAAAGATATGCAAGAACCAACTCAAAGCAAAAACATCACTTTGGATCAGATTACAGAATGCAACTAATCTGATTTAGACTTGAACAACTAACACTATTAGAAAGGGCTGAATTCCATATGGAACGAGCTAAAATACAATATATGCAAGAGAAACCCAGCCCTATCATTGAACAAAAAAACAAAAACCCAGCCCTATCAATCTATTGAAGGAATGAATAGGGCATATGTAGCTAAATATGAGGTTGCTGATTTTGCAATAAGAACTCTCCAGTTTGCAAATTGTAAGCAATGGCAATTAAGGGAAGAATTATACTTTTCTAAAAATCATCAAATTTAGTGATTAAATACCAGCAACTCAACCAAAACTCAAATTCAGTGCCACTTTTAAACAGTGAACTGAAATATTTGTTGGTTCTCTTTGTTTAGTAAATCAAATCACAAAAGTACATATATTAAAGACTGAAGACTGTAAAATAACTAAACTTGGGTTTAGGAATGGGTAGACCAAATTAGTGAGGTAACTGATGAGGAAATGACTGATAAATATACAGATAAGAGGGAACTTCCGAAACTTTGCAACATAAGTTTTATCAATTGAAATCCAACTTTACACAGTAGAATAGAGCAGATTTTTTTTTTGATGAATAACAGAAACTGGTTTATTAGATTAATATAGAGAGAGTACAAAGGTGATAAAGGGAGAGATAAACTCTCTTAACTCTCCCAAAGACAGACAACATAATTACAATACAGCCCAAAATAAACGATCCCTTCCCACCCCCTGCTTTGGTAGTGTTGATAAAAAATAAGTGTCTCAAGAAACACTATAAACGCATATGGTAAACTAAGCAACAAACAACAGTCCACAAGGAGCTAATTCATAATAATTACAACTAGACAAGTATTTAATGATAAAACAGTATATATATATATATATATATATATATATATATACCCTGAGATGAAAATTGATAAACCTGTGAAGTGAAGTAAGTGTGCTAATGGACTCTCAAATTGATGAAGTGGATTGTTTTATAACGCCAAGTGGGTCAAACAAATTTTCCAAACTTGCATAGTGTTACTATACATTTTCTACCAACTTACCTATAACAAATTGCAGTCTCTAAGTTTTGCATTTACATGCTTATGCCTAGAAAAGAAAATAACCCCTTCAACTGTTCAGTCTTGATCCAAAATGTCCAATAGCTTAATATACAGGCTGAAGCTATTGTCGTTTACCTGGATTCAATCCCTTCGGGATAAGATATGACCAAAAGTGAGGTTGTTTCAGATTCAGGCGCAACTAAGACCTAATTCATCACTTTTGTACCCGATTTTACTGTTCAACCTAGCCAATATTATAATAAACAAGGAAATTTATTAACTACCGGAAAAACAAAACTGACATGTCACAAGGGAACAATAGAGAATAAAATACATACAAACCCTAGCAGACCAGTGATAATAATAATAATAAGACTGAATTGAAGATAGACTCAGAATAATAAAAAAAAAAACAAAGGAAAAGGATGAATATGACATACATACCTGAAGACTGGTTTTATTATCCTCTTTCTTAATGTTATATTATAATAATTGCAAGAACAATGATCTTTGAGATGGGATTCTTAGAGCAACGTTTAGTGCTATACTGCTATTGTCATTGTCGACACAGCAATGGAGATTCCGTCTTTTCAATGAGGAAAATGAAGTTTCCACCAAGTTGAAGATTTTCTCTATGATCAGACATTCAGAAATTCAGACACTCACTCTCTCCCTATCTCTCTGAATCAGTGTCAGACCGACGCGGGTGATAACATATTGAGATATAAGGCAACGCAGGAGCGGAATCTGATTTTGGAGTTGGAGATGAATAGATGATCTTTAAACCAGAACCGGAGACCATGGAACGTCCAAAATCGTCGGAAGCGTTTGGGACTTGTGCGAATTATTTGCTGCTTTTGATAACACGAAAGCAAAACCTTGTTTTGTCATTTACTAAAATACTCTTATAGTTTTATCAATCAATTTACTAAAACGTACCTTATAATTTTTATTTTATTAAAATATTTTTATAGTTGCAATCAATTTACTTAATCTATCTTTCATTAAATAAGAATAGAAAATGACAGTTTTAGCCTTAATATCCATTTAAATAAATTTAATCAAAAGAAACTAAAAACAAAAATGTCATTTTTGTTGCTAGTAAAACATGGACAAACACTTTTTGTTTTCAATTCAAAAAGTGTTGAATTTTTGGAATAAACCATGGTTTTTAAAAATGAATCGGTGACTGAGAACCGGTCAGAGGTCCGGTTATCAGTTCGAACGATCTGATCGTTCGACCCAAACGGCTAGCCCGTTCTGACAAAAAAAATAATTAAAATTGGAAAATGGTCAAAACCGTTTGAACGGTTAATCGGTCGATTCAACGGTTTGCTGACCAAAATCAACAGTTTTGAGGGAAAAAGCGATTTTCGAGGAAAACGGAACCGATCAGATGACCAGTTCCCGGTTTTTCCAGTCCGACCGTCTGGTCCAATCCGATTTTGAAAACAGTGGAATAAACAACCATGGATCCATACTCTTAAACGTTTTTCACTCAGTTTAGGGGTATTTTGGAATAAACAACCATGTGTCCATGCCCATAAACATTTTCAAATGGCAAAACAAATAATTCTTAATGAAAGGTTGATTAAATAAATGGGTTGCATAATATAAGAGATATTTTAATAAAATGCAAATTATAAAATAAATTTAAATAAATCTGTAAAACTATAGGGGTGTTCTAGCAAATGAATTTTTTTATAGATAAAAAGAATTCTTATTTGATACTCGACCTAAAGCCCTAACTCTTTTTTGAGATTCTTTTAATAGAGAGGGGTACGTATTATGATAATGTTCTACAAACCCTTTGTTGATTGACACGAGGGGTCTCTAGATGCATCTAAAATGTAAAAAGTAAAGGTAAAATTGAGAATGCTGGAAAAGTGCATGAGAGTGAGTTTCAGATAAAAACCAAAGTAAAATTCTTTTTCTTTTTACCAATTTTGTTTTTTAAGCATAAAAACCATTTTTTAAATAATCATCAAATTTATTCAAATGCTAAAAAAAACTAGCAACTAAATTCATGCAACGCATGCGATTAAATAAAAATTTGGTAGGAGATTCTAGACAATGGTTTTATGTGCATATTAATTCATAAAAGATGTAGTCATAAAATATTATTCAACAATTTTTATAATATTCAGGTAATTATGAATATTATAAATATAAACATCATGTTATTTTTTCTCCAATCATTAAGCATCTTTTTTCACTATCTTATTAAATAGCTTGGGTATTCTTCTTATGACTAATCAAGCTATTTAATAAGATGGTGAAAGAATGAAAAATGTTGATGATTAGAGAAATAATATGGTGCCTATTGTTAGGAATAAGGGTGATATACAAAGTTCTAATAATTATCAAGGGATTAAACTTATAAACTATACTATAAAACTCTAGGAGAAAATAATTGAATAAAAAATATGGTTTGAAACAAATGTATCAAAGAACCAATTTGACTGTATGCTAGGGTGACCAACCATGGAAGCTATATTTCTTTTGAGACGATTGATAGAAAATTTAGAGAGGAGAAGAAAGATCCTCATATGATGTTCGTTGATATAGAAAGGGGGTTCAAAATAGGTATTTAGATTTTTATTATATACAAAAGTGTGAATGTAGTGTGAAAGGTTTTTTGGACCAAAATTACCCTCTATTTCTTTATTTGAGAAAGAGTATAAAAGTCGCTTTATTATAACTTTAATGTCAGCTTCAATGGCTACTAAAATACCCATATTTGTGTATTTAATCTATCTCTAATTGTAAGGATTGAAAATGTAACTTTAATTATTACTTTCCACCTCATTTAATTTCATCTAGTTAAGTTTTATACTTAACTGCTTAAGGTATTAAATCACATTTTCTCTTATTAAATCATATATATTTTTAAGTTATTTTTCACTAATAAATGCTACTAATTAGATCTATGTCAATATTTTTAATAGTATAAATCCATATATTCAAAATTGACTCAAAAACAAAACCATTCTTTATCCAAGTGGTGATTAAGCAATTCAACCATCCAAATCAAATTGATCAATCTAAGAAGTCATAGTTATGTAATAAAATTTTTAAAATAGAAATAAATATAGAAAATTAAAAAAATGTAGAAAAATTAGATAAATTTATGTAATCAAATTATTTTTATTGACAATGAAAATGAAATACATAATTTAGAATTGACCAAAAATGAAATATTAAAATTAATAATAAATAGTTCAACTTTTGGGTTAAATGTATTAAACTTTAATGTCATAAATAAATAATAAAAATTAATAAAATATAAAAATACAAAGATAAAAAATACGTAGGTTTTGCAAAAAAAGAGCATTCAAACACATCTATAATATCATATATTTATCATATTAAAAAAAAGTAAGTGTAAAATACTAGCATTAGTTTTACACACAAAAATACAGAAAAAAAGAAAATTATAGTAAAAATTGAACACATCTATAATTCTATATTTACACTACTATTAAAAATATGAATAAGATTGCAGAATTTTCTTTTGACTAAAATACTCATTTCTGAATTAAGTTCCAATTTAATTGTGAGGTTTAAATTGTAAATTGAACTATTACTTTCACCACATTCAATTCACTCTATTTAAATCTTACACTTTTTTTGATAAATGAACAAAAAAAAAGATGCACCAAAAAATAATACATTACAAAATGAAGAATCTATCCAAGCAGTATGTGTGCAAATGGATTGGATCATGATCTGATCCTTTTTGTTGAATTCGGATATCCCTAGTCCAAATCTTCGAATCAGATCAGGTTGGATAATAAGGTTCGATAAAAAATTGGATCGAATTTGGATCACTCCCTATCATATATAAGTATGCTATTTATTTATTTATAAACATATTATTTATATTGCATTTTTGTAAATTTGTTATATTATTTATTTTTTATAACAAATGTATATATATGATGAAAATAGTTGAAAAGATTCTTGCATTTTTTTCTTTATTTAAATTGTTATATTTTAATTTTCTTTTAATATTTTATTATTTTTTTAAATTAAATTGGAACACATCAGATCCAAATATCTGATTTCCTCATCGAATTTGTATTCAAATCCATTTTTATGAGACGTGATTGGATCTGCTATTAATAGTATTGGATCAGATTCGGATATACCTTGATTCAAATCTCATCCAATCTATTTGTATCCCTAGCAAGTAGGTAGTTTTGTCAATGATACTGAAACTTTACAACTCAATTCGATTATCACATATTTAGATGAGGTGTTTATGTTATCAGATTTGGATTTTGCAATGTACATCCAATTAATAATAAAAATTATAAAATATAAAAACAAAAAAGATGCATACAAATTTATAGAAAATTTTGGATATATTACTACTATTATTATCATCATCTAGAATTTTTGCACGTGCATGCTTACTAGTTTAATTAAGGATATGTATGAGATAACACAGATGGGAAAGATTTCAGATTTTACAGTTTGCCCTTATCTATTTGCACTAATCTTAGATGAATTAATTAAATATATTCAAGAGGAAGTTCTACGATGCATGTTGTTTCTGGATGACATTGTTTTAATTGATGAAACTAATGAAGGACTAAATGTAAAATTAAGTTTATGAACAAATGCTTTAGAAACAAGATGTTTTAAAATAAGACTAAAACAAAGTATATGCCATGTAAATTTAGTATTAAAAGGAGTGTAAATTAACATACACACGATTGGAAACCAAGAGATAACTCAATGTAACTATTTTCTATACCTTGATTTACTAATTCATAACAAGGGAGAGATTAAGGAGGATATCACCCAAAGAATTAGAGAATGATGGACAAAATGGAGAGGTGCATTTGGACTTTTATGTGATAGTGTGAATACCACTTAGACTAAAAGGGAAATTCTATAAAACATTTGTGAGGCCAGATATGTTGTATGGAGCATAATTTCAGGTAGCCAAGAAACAATATGTCTAGAGAACGAATGTGGCAGAAATATGAAAAGCAAGATGGATGAGTGGAAAAACTAAAAAGGGTAGCATTAAGAATGAAGTTATCCATAAGAACCTAGGAGTAGCTCTAATAGGTGATAAAGAGAATAGACTAAAATGGTTTAGGCACGTGCATAAAAGACCACAAATTGCATCAGTTAAAAGAAGTGTTTTGTTACACATTGAAAGGGCTAGAAGAGCTCGGATAGACAAAAAAGGACATAAGTAGAAATAGTAAAAAATGATTTAAGCACTAATAATTTAACTTCAAATATGGATTTAAATAGAATGGATTGGTGAATTAGGATTGATTCATGTAGCCCGCCCACCCCATATAGTTAGGATAAGGCATGGATGATGCTGATGATTTAGGTAATTATGATATGAGAGGAAAAAGTGAAATACATAAAATTAATATGTATATTAAATAAACAAAGAGTTGAAGAATCATATCTCACAAATAAAAATATAAAAAGATGAATAAAAAAGGATAAAAGGACTTTCAAACCTGAACAACCCACCTAAGCCTAGGTTGAAAAGCTTGGCATTTAACCTTGGTTTAGGTTTGGACTTGAGGTCAATGTTTATAATTAGTCTTGGGTAGATCCAACCATCTAAATTATATAGAGGTGGCAATCTTACTTGTCCTTGTTGGGGCTCCAACTTGCATTGCCCCAATTGGAGTGGGTCTTTGTTTGTTGATCGAGTTTGATGTGGGTTTGGCACCCCGCCTGATCACAAATCAAAGAGGAGAGGTGAGGGGTCCTCTCACCATAATGGTCACACAAACCTCCTCCTCCTTTCATTTCTCATACATGTGTTTAGTTATTTTTTAAATTAAATCATCGAAAATATAAGAAGTTAAAATAGAAAA